ATTATCTGTGTCTGCTGGTACGCATTTATACCTTTAAAGTCTTTTAGTAATGTTATTATACTTCATTTGCATATTTTTATTTTTATATCATATCATATCGAATCCTGCGCATCGAGTGTTTCACACTTTCTTGCGCCAGCCACAGGTTGACAGCTCACCAACCCGCTCATTTCGAGATTGAAAGCCGGTGAGAAATGTTGTTGTTTGTGTGTTGATTCTTTTTAAGACCTTTACAGTGGCATCGAAGAATAATTCGACTTCAGTAACCATCCCAGTTTTATATCTGAGCCCATCAAGAGCTCCAAAGGACGAAAAAGGTGATTAAAATCGAAGCAATCCAACAGTACAAAGAAACGAAAGTTTCACGTTTCCGGATATAAAGGTATTTGGTTTATTATTTTACGGTGTGAATGCAGCTCTGTCTTGCCGTACATACCGTGGTGGAGAGAATGTGTCCTGGGGGGTGTTGGGGGGCTTGCCCCCCATCAACCCTCCCTCGGGCAGTGCCCGAAGGGCACGCCTAGTCACGGCAATTTATTTTGATATATTAGGTTTGGTTTATTGGTCAATACGTTTTTGGGGGTTGGAACGTGTGAATTCCCGTAGAGTTTTCCGAAATGTGGGTTGGGTTCCCGTAGAGTTTTTTTATTATTTCGCGTCAGTCCGTAAACTTTCAAAGATGGCGGTTACATCCGTAGAGTTCATTGGCCGATTTTAAGCGCTTTTTTGCTAGTTTTTACGCATTTTTGATCGTTATTCTTCTTATTTAAGCTTGTTTTACCCCATAATTTCCCTGATATACTTCATGCCCTCCCCTGCTAATGGACTATCAAATCAAGATCGTAGATGGAGAAATGGTACTCGATCTCCTGAACAATTCATTTGCAAAAGAAAGCATCGCCAAAAATCGATGAAATCATAGGATTTCATGCAGAAAAACATCATTTTTTCAACTTAGTCTCTGAGAGGGTGCGTCGCTCTCTGTAACAATTACCAAGTTGGTCTTCAGTACAAGAAATAATCTGCAGGCGTGAATGGTAACACACAAATAAAAGAAAATTATGAAAAATTATACTCCGAGCCTGAGGTCCACTCGGGTACTTCCAAGTTTCAGCTCACTCTTGCCGGGCATATCGAGGTAAAGACAATGTTTCTTGGAGGGTGTTGGGGAGCAGTGCCCCTCATCAACGCCTCCCTCGGGCAATGCCTGATGAGCACACCCAGTTCATGGTAACTTAGATTGAATAAATTTTTTGATTAACAAAATAAGGAAGAGTAATTGCAGGGTTGGATGGCTGTGTGAAAAAAAAAAAAGTTTCTGCTTTATTTATGATATTCTTGATAACATTGATCCCTTCCTGATATATTTTTCAATGGTTTATCAGATTCCAGATGTTTCTTGCCACATGGGAATTAGTTGTCATCTATGGATTTATCTGGGTCTTAATTTGCTTATACTGCAGGTTTTTTAAATTTGTAAGGTAGACACCCCAGCTAAGGTATATCCTTTAAGAGTTCTTCCCAGTTTGTGCTAGGAATAGTTAGTCTTAATCACTTGTGATGCAGATAAGCTCAAAGGCTAAATGCTAAATCAGTATTAGGGTATCTCGGCCCAAGCCACTGAGCCATGTGAAAATTTGCCAGAGTAAAGAGCCTACTCTAAACCTGTAATTAAAACATTCAAATATTCATTTACATTGCTCAGTCTGTGAAATATGAAATAAGAATGTTTTGTTACAGGGGTGTGGTAGTGACAAAGTATGTTGTTAGTAAATGAACTTACTTGATTCTCAATTCTCAGGCTGTCTGGTGATGCTGTCATTGTCCGTGGGCAGCAAAGGAGGACCACCTCCTGAGAGGTCAAATTAACTTCTCAAATGTCATTGATCCACGTCAAGCAAGAAGAGCAACAGCCAAGTATGATTGTAATATTTTTATTGTTTCTGGATCTTAAAGGGTTTGCTCAGTTACTTCTAGTTATATGTATAGTGAAATCCATTTTATTTAACATGCTGAGATTGTGGTGACTTTATAAAAGGATATGACTATACTAATTTTTAGAATTTTAGAAATTCAGAATAGAAATTATAACCTTTGCATTGATAATAGGCCTTGATGTACAGCTTATTGTTTGAAAGTCATATGGTATAAAAATTGTTCCTATATACATCAGAAGTATGTCCTAAAGTTTTTAAAATTATTTTTGCCTGTCTACTAATGGGATAATTTTTGTGGATGTTTATATTTTATTTTTTTGCCAACTGATACTTCACTGGCTATTATGTATTAAAGATTACTTGTTTAGGTTATTTATTTTGTGGTACTTCATAATACAAACAACTTCAGGTAATGCCAATGTACTTGGATTTGGAAAAGTGATAATATAGGGTAGATATCCTTGTTGCACTAAGTCTATTGCAGGAATGTCTAAGTTGAGTAGATTGTATGATTGAATTCTTCATGTAATTTACTTGTAGATTTAGATTGTATTAATCATGGGAAGTCACAAGGGAAAGGAAATTGGGAGATATTCAGAATACCTTGCCACAACTGGTCACAATTATATTGGTAACTAATGGAGTGTTCTCCTGCTCTTGTACACAAGTTAATAGAAATTATGCCACGGAAACCTCCCTAATGCCAATAGTCTTGGCCCAATAGCAGGGAAAGCATGAATTGTACCAAGCCAAATTGAGATTAGATATGAATAACAGATAGATCATTGGCCAGTTTGTCAAATGGAACAGACCCCTACAGTCCTCCCATGGGGTGACTTTGTCCCTGCAACTCCAGCCCAGGACAACAAAGAATTCACCACCAATGTATGGCAGGATAGAGGGTAGGACAGATTCTGGCACTGGTGCTCCCATATGTCAGTCATGGCCCTCATACCATGAATGCGTGGAGGATTATTTGTTTTCAGTTTCATGGGTTGGAGGGCAACAGCCTACCAGGAAGGAGGTAGCAGGGGAAGCTGCCCTTTCATTAGATGATATAGTGACTTGTTTTGTGTCTATTATTGTGAGGTATTACATGTATATTGATATAATTTACCTCTGCAATTTTCCTGATACTTTTCATGCTCTTACCGCTATTGGGGCCAAGAATGTGGGATTCTACAGTAAATGACCTTCATATATGGCAGGTGGTGGTGAAAGGAATCCATTGATACCACTAAATTTGTGATCAGTCATGGGAATGTATTCTGAATAATTGCCAAAGAAAGCAAATCTAAACCTGTGGTCACTAGTTACTTGACCCCCCTGAGCCCTCTGGCATTTGTACGGTTTTCTTTCATATAGCTGAAAAGTGATCTTTTAATTTGGATTTACTTCTCTATATTGGGAAGGAGTGATACTAATAGATTTGTTTGTAATTATTGATATGTATGTATATTCAAATGCCTGTTTATTTATTTATACTGGTTTAAAATTTTCATTATTCTATTTAATATTTCAGTGCACCAGAGACAGTGGATGAGCCGTATGCCTGGGAGAGTAGAGAGTTCTTGCGGAAAAAGGTAATCGGGAAAGAAGTTCTCTTTACTGTTGAAACCAAAACTTCAACTGGCCGAGAATATGGAGCAATCTATGTTGGCAAGGGTAAGTTAACTGTTTTCTCCTTCTCCCTTTCCTTCCTACATTCAAAATCAGTGCCCCCCCCCCCCTGTTTTCTTACATTATTTAATCTGCATACTTCATTCATTTTTCTCGTCTTGTTACTTTGCCTCCTCTCTCCCTTATCTTGAAGTCACAGTAATACAATGCTTTGGCAAGCTATCCACTTTGGGTATAGGTCTCTACCTATAAAGTAAAAGCCCTTTGAATGAAGACCCTATTTTAGGCAGTGTTTAAGACATGAATTCTGTATTTTTTGTTAAAGTGAAATTCAAATGTTATAGTATATGCTATAACAAATTCTACTTTTCTCATTATACTATTTTCCTGCTTCAGACATTTCCTCGGCAGAGAACATCACTGAGACCATGGTGTCAGAAGGCTTGGTCATGGTTAGGAGGGAGAGTATCCGAGGAGAGTCCCGCCTGTTGGACTTGGAAGACACGGCAAAGAGCCAGGGAAAGGTAAGATAGTTTGCCAAATGAGAAACATCAATTATTTTAAACATCATGTTTTAGAATAGTTTGATTTCTTTTCTCTCATGCCACTTGGAAACTACTTGTGCACACTGAGAAATTGCAAATTGGCAACATCAACCCGCCAGGGTGATGTCCTTATCTTAGTGAGAGTAGTTTTGTGTGTAATGAAAAGGAAAAATACCTTAAACTTTATGAAAACAGCAAAATTCATTAGTATTTTTCATCTTTCTTTGTCTCTCTCTCTCTCCCTCTTTGTCTCTCTCTCTCTCTCTCTCTCTCTC